TGTTAGGGATTTGATTTAAAATTAGGGATATGGGGTGACAATGAGTTACATACTTGTGTTTGTTGGTTTATTAAGCCATCTAACTTTAAGAACCACATAGAACCACCATAAAACCGAGTGAAGATAGCTGCAAACCAACTGAGCTAACTGGGATTGGTTGATTATCCCATTCTATTCCCATGAGATCCCAACTACATCCCTTCTGAAATGTCACCATGTTCAATGCGGAAAAATACCAACTGGCCATGGAACAGTGCCAGAGTTGTTTCTACCAACATGGTTTACTGCTGCCTATTGGGGTATCATTTAGGGTTCACATAAGTTATTAAATTCCCCTTGCCACATGAAACAACTAAGCATAATTCCCTTAGGGTTTCATTTAGGGTTTAGATAAGTTACAAAATCTCCCGGTTCCATGGAACAACTAGCCAAACTGTGGTTTTACGGCTTTATTGGGGGTTTAATTACATAAGTTGTCAAATCAGTGCCAGGGATGCATACCATGCGGAGAAGTGCACATGGCTGTGGCGAGATGACATATGAACACTCCAGACTCGAGTGAAGTCCGTGCAGCGTTTATTTTTCCGACTGATTTTCCAAGAATTAGTCTTGGGACATGCTAACGCCTAGATGTACCAACGTGATAAAACACTGCACCTGCGCAATGAAATAAACCTCTTTGGGACGTTAACAATTCGATTCCAGGCCAACCCTCAGTCCTGCCCATGAAACTACCAACCGACAAACATCCAACTGCTTCGAAGCTTTCCCTTCGCCAGTGGGTTCACCCAGCGAAATCCCCATTTTCTTGTCGAATAGACTCGTTCCGCAAATCGTTGTTTCAATCCCAATAAGGCTGATTGAGCCATGAAAAATACCCCGGTTGAGTGTTATTATACAGGATTCTACTACCTGGTTTGAGGGGGATTGTGAACTAACCCATAATAGGGAAACCTATCAACCAACTACAAGAATCAAATGGGATAGGGTTACCCTCTGGTAAACTAGCGAACTGTGGAAGATCACCATTTTTGATAGCTATGTTGGTTTACCAGAGGGTAGTAAGTGGTTAGCAAGTGGTTTCCCCCAAAATGGGTTATAATAATCCCTAATAACTAGGTAGTATAACTCCATCTAATATCCCATCAACAATGGTATATTAACAATGTTTAAACTTATTAATATATAATCATCACCTAACCATTATTTATCATTATAATTAACCATGATGAAAAGTCTCAGGGTAATGTTACTAAGTCCCAATTTTACTATATATTACAACCATTATTCAATTATTGGTTCTATAGTTTTAGATATAGATTTACTAAGCAAATCAACTAATGTAAATATGTATGCTATAGTTGATGGAACATATCATAATAAACTATTGTATAAACCATATTAGATGACTATTATCATATATATATATACTAGTAACCATATAATCCACCAACATAAATTCATATATATATATATATACTATCATAATACACCATATCAATCCATTGTCGAACTTCATGACGAACAGACCATGGCTCCATGGGTGCCAGACCGCGAAGTCCGCGACCCCCGCCGCGACCCCCGCGCCGCATCTGCCGAGTTGGGATCGGACTTGGCATCCAGCAGCCGCCGCACTTCGACCAGGTCACCTGGGAGCCGAGACAACTCACCAGAGTCATTGTGAAAAAAACTTGGAACTTCATGGGTTTTTATGCTGATGTGATTAAATGGGCTTTAACCAGCAAACACAGTCATTTAAAACCTCATTAAATCACCATGCTGGTGAATTCCCCAGTGGTAGTCATTGTGAGTTTGTATGAAGCCTTGTATCCAAGAGGAACGAGCTGCGAACATAACTTACCAGACACACAAACAAATGCGGCTTTGAGAAGTTTAAAGCGCATATAGTGAAGCCCAAGAAAGATAATACAAGTATTGTGTCACTGTGTTTCACTTTTCGATTGAGGGGGTTTACTACACGAATTTATAATTACAACGTTTTGCTTCCCAGTGATGTTTGCTGGTTTATAGCCCGTTTTGACTACTTCGACTTGATATATAACATATATATATATCTGTGTGTGTGCATCATTTATAATTATTATATATGCATCGTAAAACCCGGTAAATTGGGAATGATGTTCAGCAGCGATTTCGTTCACTGGGGCACCACCTTACGAGCTCCCAAAGATGCTGTGCTATACTGAGGCGCCAATGCGAGCTGCAAAGGCCAATGGAGATGCCTGAGATGCTGGCGGCTCCTCGTGGCCATGGGAGTGATGGAGTTCCATGGGAGAAATATGGGACAAATAGGGTGAAAATATGGGGAAAACGGGGATGGGATTTGATGCATGGAGGTTGGTATGAAGAAACATATGAATCCCAACTAATGGATTTGACATTTGAAAACATATGGATATTGTTAAATATATCCCTTCGTCGAGGGAGTAATGGGAATTGATTGGATTTAAGAGATAATATGAAGATTCATGGGATCAACAAGAAGATTCGTATGAAGATTCATGCTTAATTGACTTTGGATCTTAGGTGACTTAACGATTACCCTCTGGTTATTTAACATAGCCATGGAAAATAGCCCATTTATAGATGGTTTAGCTATTATAAATGGTGATTTTCCATGGCTATGTTAAATAACCAGAGGGTAATACTAGTATGAAGATTAATGCGATTTCACCATGTAAGTCATGGGATATTTTGCAAAAATCCGAAGTTGAAGCATCCCAAATAATTATGGTGATTTAACCAGCAACAAATGATGATTTAATGGTGGTTGAAATGGGATATAATGATTGGATAATCATGGTTGCAGGCACCCTTTCTGATGGCTAGTTCATACATCAAATCCCAGCGCTTCCCAAAGTATACAGCTATCTTTGATGCTTCAAATCCACATGTTTGATGCTTCAAATCACCATGTTCCATGGTTTTTGCACCGTTTTCATCAATTTTCCATGGTAAATTCACAATTTTCCGTCATTTTTGGCACCCAAAAATGGCCGATGAACCCCACGAGCAGCTGTCCTCCGTCATCTTCACCGCCTTCGGACCCCGTGGCTCCGCCACGCCCTGCGCCTCCGCCGCCGTGGAGAAGACGCCCTGACGGGACGACAGGGCGACCGCTTTATTGGTGAATTCTTAGCGCTAATTGGGGTATCCAAATATGTTTCCTCCTTAACTTATTTGTTTGGGAAATTGTAGTTGTATATCAATATATATATATATATCTGTACAATGGGGAGAGGTTTGGGGGTATCTATTAGCTATTCTTCTACTCTTATACTGTATTCAACTAGTATATTCTATGGTGATTTATTTATATTTATTTTGTCTATTTCTGATCATCTACCTATTGGTTGGTTTTCATGAGAAGCCTCTAATCAGCCAACCAGTGGCAAAAGGACATCTATGGGAGTTCCGGTTAGTCTGGAGAATTCAATGAATGAACGAATGAATAAAGGAAGGAAGGAAGGAAAGAAGGAAGGAAGGAAGGAAGGAACAAATCTAAAACAAAATATTTGCTGAGCCATTTCTTTGGGGATGATTCCCTAAAGATCAACCATGATGGCGCGTTGCCAAGAGGTCGCCATAAATTGTCCAGGTCATGCTGGTTAGACAGCGGCATAAATGGTGAGAGGTCACTGGCTCATTTGACCATCTATCCTTGGGTTTGCTTGGTGTAGAATGAATGTCGGAATTTTAATTGAGTAATTGACTTAACCTTACTGGAGCTTAGCAGGGAATTTTCGGGAATGATCCATAATGACTAGTAATAATCATCCCAGCAACCCCCAGCAACCCATCCATTCCCTACGTCTAGCACCAGTAAGTAACGTTCCGGTATGACAGTGCGAGGGCCAATCTTTCCCTGTGTGGCCTGCCCCTCTGAGGCCCGCACCCTGGGCATGGCGCACGAATGGGCGAAGAAAGGTCGAGCGTTGGCGAGCGTTGGCGAGCGCAGCTTCAGGCGATATTGGTGAATAATGGCTAATTCATCTTCAATGATGGTTAATAATGGTCAATAATAATGTTCAATGGTTAATAGCGGTTAATAACTGGCCGCTCTCATTGAGATCTTCTGAGCTGTGTTCCTCTCCGGGCTGAGCTTACTTCCAATTTCTAGCTGATGTTTCTGCAGATCTTGGTGATGCTTCGTCGAAGCTGTGACAGGTGTTGCAAGAAGTGCCGCACCCGGCAACGGAAAAAGAAAAAAACAACAAAATGATGAACAAAAGTCCTAGTGAACCGGTTAATCAACAACACATGACTGAAATGGCTGCAGGAACATACGTGGCATACGTGTCACGAAATGAGACCATCCCAAAACAACTCCAATGATACTCACCTATTCCATTCACCAGTCCGCTCACCCAAACATCTGTTGATACAGTGTCCATTGATATACATTTCTTTTTTGTGACATTCGATTTTGTTATGGTTACATGACAGTATAACATTAAGTATAGCCCAATATGTGGTGCCCTTTTGGAAGCATTCACTCCGCTACAGCTGGCGCCAGCTTAGCTGCCAAGCCTCGCCATAAACTTGCCTGGCATTAGGATGGATGGATGGGGGATGAGGTTTCATAGTTGTGTTTGTTAGATGTTTGTTGACCCATCTAACATATGAATCACCATGGATTCTAGTTAAGCTAGTTGTAAACCAACTTGGCTACGGAGCACCATCTTGTAGCCAACCAAAGCGATGGTGATTTCATGTGATTTCGGCAACACAAATGGTTCAATGGTAGAGCAAACCCATGGGTTCATCGGTGTGGTACCAGCCAAAAAAGGGATGTTTCTACCATGCTTCAACTCCTCAACCATTGCCAGGAAGCTTTGTTGGACTACCCACCTGCCCATTCATAGGGCTGCTTAGTTGCGAACCCTACCGACCCATACAAGAAATCTGCAGTGATGCGCAGAGTCTTTTTTTTACACCGACGAGTTCTCGGTGCAGAGATGTCGGGCAAGAGTTGAACGTGGCAAGAGAGATGGATGCCCTCTTCAAGGGCACTAGATCACAAGATGATCACAAGAGCCGAAAGCACAGGAGAAGCTCACCCGCCAGGTTTCGGTTGGTGCAGCTGGAACAGCAAGGCCCTTTCAAACGTCCCGGTCATCATCACTAGGAAACAGCTGGCGACTACATCATGAAAAAACTCGCAAAGTGAGACTCATTCCCTGAACGTTCCTGAATATTTCATTGAATGTTCCTGGAATTTCCTCTGGCAATCTACAGGGGTGACCGGAATTCCTTTGGGTATGTACTTTGACGTCCCTGCGCTTTCAGCTACGCATAGGCTATGCAAGTCGTGCAGGCGCTTGCGTCCAGGCCGCTGATGTCGGTGGAAGCCAGAGGTCATTGACCTTGGATTTGCTGATCTGCCCTATTCTGCCCTGTGGTCATCTAATATAGTTTTGAAAAATGGCCCGTTTCTAGTACATCGATGATTTTCCTGGTAAATATGGTGGCTTTTCCCATGGCTATATTAGATTACCAGAGGGTAAGTTTTTCGACGAGTTCCCAAAAGTTGGTTTTGAAGGAACATTACTGTAACTAGAACCATGCATACATGACTGAAAATTGATGAAGCAAATCCGGTGTCCTGGAAGAACTCCCCAAATCCAGCTTATATACAGCGGATTCATATGGGTTCACCTAACGGAAATGTCCTTCCGGTTGTGTCCTTTCATTGTGCTTGATGTAACAGCAAAATAGCAACAAGATATCTAGCAACTAGTATCATATCAACCAATATTGCCATTTTTTTTGCCAAGGTATGACATATTCCATCCCCCAATTAACAGGTTGACCCTGCTATCGGTCCGATGTTGTGTAGCCCATTGTATCGTGTTCATAGCGTGACCACCCCCTCCTCGAATCCTCGAAATCCCATGACTATGATACACTACATGACTCTGATATTGTTAAGCTACCAATATTGTCGGAATGGCTTTGTTTATCATTGCTGTTATCATTGTTATCATGATATGTAATCGCTAAAAAAAGTGTATCATCAATATTTTGTTGAATCACTGTGGATTTGAGGGGGGTTGTCTGAAAATTGGGCACCCCAATTCATCCACTGATTCACTGTTGCCTTATGCAGTACTGTACCTAGATTCTAGGCTCCTGGCATTCCCACTGATCATAATATGTCATCATGTTTCCCTCTTAGAATGATTAGTTGGAGTCGGCCTATGGGTCTATACCCAATTTTGAAACAAACATATCAATAAAACTGGTTGCGTACATCCCAACAAGATTCCAATAAATCCGCACTATCTCACCCTGACACTCCCAATATCATAGTACTGTTCTCCCACAAAATAGCCAACCATGTCCCTATTCCACCGCCTTTTTTGTTGGTTAGATCCCAATGTTTCACAAATCTTTGGTGGACAACCATGGTTTTCAGTAGCACCAACAAAATCATCTCATTCACCGTTATATATCCCCATTGTTTCCCCATTGTACTGCCAAAAATGATTTGGTGTTAAGCCCCCATCATAATCCCAAATGTGACCAGTTGTGGTTTACCCTGTGGCAAGTGAGCATTGCCATGGAAAATCCGCATGTTTGATGGGTAAATAATTAAAAATTGTGCCATGTTCCATAGTTATCTCAAATGATCTGAAGGTACAAGGTAAGGCCCCCCAGTTACGTTTGTTGGTTTATAAAGCCATTCACTATAGTTCTATCCCCCTGATCAACCCAAGCAATAACAAAGTTAGGTGCGTCAACTGAGCTATCTAGGAGGCACCACCATATATATATATAAGTTGGTATATAAAAGTTAAATATGATTATATCATGTTATAGCTTCCATTAACTGTATTGAAATCTGCATTTTCTGTATAATTGCCAGGTGACGCCCGGTGCTGGGCTGGGCCTTCGTTGAGGACTGGCTCTCCGGGGGCTGACGCGGGCCAGACAAGGGGTGCTGGCGAGGCAGGTCGTGCTGGTCTTCAACATACTGGAAGTCCTGGGAATTTGGGGCCGATAAATCATGAGATTGATATATATATATATATAAAGGTATGTAAGATTATGTAAGTATGTATTGAAAACCTATTGGAATGAGTAAATTTATGATCCCACTATCATCTACCTATCAATTACTGAGATGATAGTGGGGATATATTGGAATGTAACTGGTGAAGTCATGGGAATTTGGGAAAAAAACCAGTGAAATGAGATGGAAACACTTGGACAGTGGGATGTAAAGCATTTAAAAACTGAATAGTTTGACATGACATTTATGAGATGATAGTGGGATGATTTGAAACAACTACAGGAATATGTGTGGTAATAATATTGGGATTATTTGGGTAATTCAATGTCGTGGTGTTTGTGGGGTGGGTGGGACAACAATGGGGTGATATTGGGGTAAAAATGAGATAATAATTGGTCCGAATTGGTACTAGTAATATCTTGGTAAAATGGTGATTATAAGAATGGGACACTGTGAGTCTCAGCTGGTCCAAAATGTTGATTCACAGAAAATGGGACACTATTGGGATAGTTATATTGGAATAGCAACAAGATGATAATGGACAATAATTGGATAATCCTGGGATAACAATCGCAATGGGATGCCAAAGGGATAATGTTGGGATATGTTGGGATATGTTGGGATAATAAGTGTGATTACTGGCAGTTCAAGATGTCAACGAAACATGAAGCAGTTCCCTTGCGGAGTCCCCAACCGATTGTTTAAAATCCAATCCTGACATATATACTGGAACCCAGAGGGAGGAAAAAATTACTTTGATGAAACTTGCGCCGGGAGACCACAGAGTGCTTCCCTGCCGTCCATAAGTTGCCAGTGAAGTCGGGTTCCCCTGCCGCCCGTAAGTTGCCAAGGAGGTCGGGCTCCCCTGTCTCCCATACGCCCCCAAGGATGGATTCCCCTGACGCCAAGTGATGGGACTGCCTTGGCGCCTGTAGGTAGTCACCATAGGGCTGCCCTGCCGGGGGTAGCTGCCATAGCTATTCTGCATCAAGGGTCGCGCCACAGGCTCAGGAGAGCCGGATCGAAAGCCTGGGGCAGCTGGGACGGGAGGAGACCGGGAGCCATGAAGCACTGGAGAGCTGATGGTGTGTCCAAGATACTGCGTCCGTGCTGTTGGGGGTGGTGAATAGGTGGGGCCCATGGATCGGCACAGCACTGGGTAGCCCGGAGAACGTTGGACGCTGCCGGGCGAGTCGCTGTGGAGGGTAATTGGGGACCTCAGAGCTGCTGTGTTGTAGTTCCACGGAAGCCATGGTCTCATGCACCCCCTAACTCTGATGACCATCGATGATGCATAGGCATAGGATTGTGCATTATTTTTGGGTGCCTAGATAGGTAAGGATATTTAGTTTCAGCATATCTACATGGGAAACAACCATGCAAATGTAGGTCTAAGCATTCAAAGTCCACCACCCCTAAGAACCTCCGAGCTATGGAAATGACATCCCAAAAACATGGGGATGTCTATGCCTAACAAAAAAGGGTTTGATAGGGATTATCTGTCAATCAACAAACATGTACGTCCTTATGGGCCGGAAGTATTACCGTAAAGCTGCATGGTTAGATACTGGAACGAAAAACGCTGGGTCCCAAACCCAATATAGGGACAACAAACAGCAACCGTAGGAACGGTCAATACTGGCACTCACCACCACCCCAAAATGAAACACGTCCAACGAAAAAAAAAAAACGCAAAAAACTGTTCTCGCGAAAAGTATGGCACATATACGTGCATCAAAAACACATAAACATATCAGAAAAACAAAACATAAAAACATAAATGCCATACATAATTAAATATGTTATATTTGACTATACCGACATATAACTATACATATATATATATATTTACGGTAACTACATTTAAATACACGGACTTTAAATATACGAACAGGTATTTTAGACTACCTCCGGGAAGGTTATCCTTGGCCCGCCATTTAAACATACGGAATCCAATTCATGTAAATAGATACGTTAACTACATTTAAATATACGAACTGCTATTTCATAACTACCTCCGGGGCCTCACGGTGTGGCCCACCCTCCACATAATTAAATGTCGTTACCGTATATATATATATATATATGCATATACAAGGCCTATAATGCAAATACATACATGTATACTATGATATATATATATATATACATACATATACGTATGTAAATAATAAAAATAATAATGATAATAACAGTAGTAATAATCAAAACAATAACAATAATGTTGGTGAATCAATATCATAAAGCACCTACAGTTTGATGTTTTATAACACCCATTTATGGTGAAGTTGGGGGTGGTTTAGGTTTCTTATTGACCTTATTGCTTTACCAACATAATATGTGTTGAATTCAATATATCCCTACAGCTCCAAACACCTTCTGAGACTATATTTGGAGTTGATTTTTGGGGTGCCACACACCTTCTCAGATGGTATTTGGAGCACCAAGGTATACATATATACATATATATATATATATCATTATATATATCTCTCTCTCTCTCTCTCTCCCTCCCCATCAATCAACAAATCTATCTATCTATTATCTATCTATATCTTTTTATATTGTCTATCTGTTTTTTGTTTTGATCTGTTCTAATACATTCCTATGAAGACCTTCTCCAACCAGCGCCAGGCCACATCGACACCATCCCCGGTGACGGGGGCACGGCCGCCACCTGCAGGGCGCGTTGACACGACTCCTGCGCCTTCACCGCGAGCTCCGTCCAGGCCGGAGTGGAGCGCCGGGAGGGCGCCATCTGCCGCGGGGTGTAGGTCATGGTCCTGGTCAAAAAGTATGTTGGGATGAAAAAATAGGATCTAACAGAAGATTTTATAGGTTTTTTTTGGAACTTACTAGGGATTTTAATTGATTTAATGTTCGAAACCATCCAATGAGCATTATAAATCGGAATCTGTAAGCGACACTTTTGGTCAACAAGAACCACCCCCCTGAAATGAGCGGTAATATCCTGACGTGTCATCCCAATTGTTCGTCATTTTCCGGATTTAGATGAGCTTTAACCAATCCATCCTGCCCTCCGATGGCAAGAATACATGAGAAGACAGTATCTTGGTTGTTCAAGCAAACATTGTGCTTTACTTCGCCAAACAATGAGATGAGACGCTCTCCAGTTCAAAAAATATTAGGACATAAATTCAGGTTTGAAATCCATATGAATCAACATTCCTTTTGGTGGAATCATTTTGTATACAGTAATTGGGTATATCCAATAAACATAGGATATAACTAGAGATAAGCCAAACTCTGGGTGAGCTACCTGGATTGGTCCGGAATGGGAGGGAACTACAAAGGCCTATATTTTCGATTCCTGGTGATGAGCAAATGCACAGCTTCATTGGGATGTTCCATGAAGCTGGCAAGTTCTGATCGTAAGCGGCTTCCATTCCAATGTATCCCAAGAAAGTTCAAGGAAGAAGGGAAAAACCTAACCTACAAGCGGCAATCCCCATGTATCGGATCAACTATACCCACCGGCAATCAGCCACATGGCAATGGACAAATCCATACTGATGACTTTCCCAGCGATGAACTTTCATGTTTAGGGGATTTCCTAGCTAGCCATGATTATCAAAGGGTAAACCCATTTTGGGGATGTTTCAGCCACAGTATATAAAAATGAAAATGATTCATTTTTCTAAAGTTTAAAGGTCGATATAGTATTTTTATATACAATGTACAACCATTTGGGTAATATATCTATCATGGATAACTACATATCCTTATATGGTTGGTTAATCTTACTTTAATGGAAACCATTAATTGATAGTTTATATACCATGTGAGTAATCCTAACTAGTCATCCATAATTATAGACCACTATCCTATCTGGCTGGTTTCAGCCATCCAAACATGATGGATGAAAGCACAGAAAAAAGTGCATCTGAAAAATCGGCTTGGATAGCTTATATCTCCAGCTATTATTTTCCCAGAAACATGTTTGGAATCCCAAAGAACATCCCGGAAAAAATCACCATGATTCTAATAAACCGTATTTTGAATTATTTTTGGAGTTAACCCGTATCCAACTCAACCATTCTAATTATTCCTACTATATCCCCCCCAAAAAAGTGCTTTGAAAATGTTTGTTGATAAATTCCACCAATTAAATCCAGGTTGCATTCATCAAATTTCCATTACATCCACCATTATATCCGTGTTAAATAAATAATTAGATATAATTAGAATATAAATATCTCTCTCTTATATCAGCATTATACCACTATATATTCCCATTATTTTCCCCTTGTACATCCACTAAATTATAGATCCATATTCCCATGATTTCCCATGTGTCCTGGAGGACTGGTTGATGCCATATGGATCTTGCAGTCGTTGCATCGCTTTCACGCGCGCGACTGTGGCCACAGCAGCCACCACTCCAGGCGTGGGGGTGTACCTGTCAGGGCTGAAAACGTCAGCAAGAAACAAAAGGGCATGACTGCATACTGGTAACACCCGAACAAAAAGATGTTCATAAAATCCTACTGAAATGGTGGTGAAGTATCTCTTCTATCTTTCTTGGGGCTGATTGCTATAAATACTGGGATGCAAAGTATGGAACAATTACAGTAAAATACATCACGAACCTGCACATGGGTATGTTCGGGTATGAGTCCAAACAAGAACCAACTCCGCGGTCCCCTAGGTCTTGAATTCTGACCCGCCCAGTTTGATTCCATTGGAGTTAAACTTATGACAAATTGGCAAGTCATCTCTCTATGATACATGTGTCAAATATTGCGAAAACATGCGAACACAGCAACATAGAAGGGCAAATCACCCTTAACGGATTTTGTGTGTAGAATAAATGGTGTTACTAATAGAGTCATCGGACTGCCAACTGCCCACCCAAACATGCGAATGTGGAAAGACTGGCAAGAGGAACCAACAGTCTGCCCCCCAATTATTGAACCACACCATTAAAGGCTCAGCGTTAAAAACCATTGGAAAATCCTTTGCATGGGGGGATTCATGACGGATTATGCCAATCTCCAATGGTGGCTAGTAAGGCTAGCAACCTCCTAGCCATATTTCTTCGCTGCTGAAAATCAACGTGTATGTTCAGTCCCCCATGATCAACGATCAATCCCATTTTTGGTACTGAAGCCTATGCCACCTAATCCCAATTGTTGCTACTTAAGTCCAATATTTTGGGGTCAGTGTGTATCAAAAGAATGTGTTAATACCAAAACATTGCACTAAGATTCGTACCAAAAGGGATTCAAAACATGGGATTCATTGAATTCTTGATTTTTTGGCTGGTGAAGTCCGATTTCTTCCTGGTGACGTCCCAATTTCTTCCTGGTGAAGTCGCATGTTTCTTGGTAAAGTCGCATTTTTTCTTGCTAATTAATTAATTATCATTATTTCCATTTTTTTCCTGGTGAAGTTCCCTAATTATTTCCTTTGTGAAGTCGCCCCAGCCCAGCCAGCCCGTGTTCAGCCTGGCAGTCTCCGGGCTCACGGCCCTGGAGAACTCCGCGGCGCCGACGGGACCGACGTCGCGTCGGCTCAGTGTGGCATCCGCGTCCTGGGCGTTCGGTCGCGTTTCGGCGCCCAATTGGCACAATTATGGTTGGAAAACCCACATCTATGGTCAGTTCAACCGCTGTTGCTGCAATGCTGGAACGTGGTACCCGCCCAGTTTTAATTTTGTTTCAATACCAATCCAACTATAGAAATATCGGCAGCAAGCGACTAAAAGCCTGGTTTAAACATGGTAAAAGTAACTTATACCATCTGGTTATTTAAGATAGCCATGGAAAATCATCATTTTTAATAGGTAAACGATCTATTTCTATGGGCCATCTATACCATGGCGATGTTAAATAACCAGAGGGTATAGCTATCTGGGGTGCACCACCAGTGGATTGCAAACAAGTTTCCAGACCCTGTCGCAACGTCGATGGTCTTGCCACCGTGAGCGAAATGGAGCTCGGCCGCCGTTCCAAGGTGCAAAGATCATCTACCAGGTCCTTTTTGTTCTCCTGGGATCCGAAAATCATGTTTTGCCCTGCTGTATAAGGAATATATTGAAATATCACGGGAAACACATTGTGTTAATAGAGGTTTTCATTTTGCCTGATGTTGACATTGCATTCTTTTTGCAAATCAAAATCTTGTGAGAAAACTGCGGGGGGATGCTGAATGCAGCCAAGGCACCGCCTGTGATGCGCCCTCTTCGGGTTCTTCTTCCTCTGGTTTCACAAAGTGCGGCACCCCCTCCATAGGTCTCTTTCGATCCAGCTGGGCATGTTTTGGTGTTTGTTCTTCCATGACTTCTTCCTCTTCGGGTTTCACAAATTTTGTTGGTATTTTATCCATCCTCTCCTTCGCCTCCATCATCTTGAGTGCGAGTTGTGCCACTTCAGCCACCGGCGGTGAAGCTTTTGTTGTGGTTTCGGCTGTCTCCTCCTTTGGCGTCTGTGCCACCTTGGCAAGGTTCTCTGCAAGCGTCTTTGGGTGCTGCGCATAAACAACACTTTTGGGAAAAACATGTCATTGGAGCTGGGGAACATTGGGCACTTGGTGGGGATGCGAAAATGTTTTGAACTAATTCGCAAGGAAAACACATGAAACTTGAAATGCAAAAAGGGCCATGCATTAGCCGGATGCAGGATGCTACCAACCAAGGATTTTGATTGGACGTCTTTTGATGCCAAAACATCATGAAACAGTAGGACATATTCGCAAACTTTTTGTGACATGTTATGATATTACTTATGCATGGTGTATAGCTGGGTTCCCAAATGGCCCTTGATGCAAACTTTATCGGTTGAAGGCATTCCCAAATTCTCAAAAAAATATAAGCGCCGTTAGCTAGCAGTCATTTCAGAAACCCTTTGTCATCCTTTGTCCCAACGGTATCACTTCTTTCTGGTCTCAGCTGCCTCCTCCAGTTTTGACTCTTTTCCTGCTTCTGCTCCTCGGACAGGTGGCGCGTAAGCTTCTGTTTTGGCTTCTTCTGCCTCCTCGTTAGGTCCTTCGGCTGTGGCCAACATTTTTGCCGCTACTGCCACTTCAGGAACTTGTTTTACCTCCTTTGGTGCAGCTTCTGCTTTGCCTTCAGCTGCCCCTTCTTTCGGTGCCTTTGGTGCTTTGGCCAAGGCTACCTCTTCTTTCTGCTCTTCCACGGCCTCCAGAACTGGCTTCGGCTTCGCTTCAGCATCCTTTTGCCGTGGCACTTCTGTTTGCACTGCCGCTTCCGCGGTGGCTTCAAAAGCCTCGAGTTTCGCTTCTGACCTTTCCCCTGCAGCTGGCCGCACCTCAGCGGCTGTTGCTGCAACCTCTGCTGCCTCTTCCTTTGGTGTTGCAGCTTCTTCTGAGGCCTTTACCGCAGCTTCCTTTGGGTCCGCTGGCTTCTCAGCAGCTGCTGCATCTTCTTCTGTAGCTTCTGCTGCCTCTTCTTTAGGTGGTGCTGCTGCCTCCTCTGCAGCTGCTGCAACTTCTGCTTCTGCTGCCTCTTCCTTTGGAGCTGCTGGCTCCGCAGCAGCTGCTGCCACGTCCTTTGGTTCTTCTGCTGCAGCTTCGTTCAGTGCGACTGGCTCCTCAGCAGCTGCTGCAGCTTCTGCTGTTGCTGCTTCCTCTTCCTTTAGTTCTGCTGGCTCCTCCGCAGCTGCTGCTGCTGGCTCCTCCGCAGCTGCTGCAACTTCTGCTTCTGCTGCCTCTTCCTTTGGAGCTGCTGGCTCCTCAGCAGCTGCTGCCACTTCCTCTGCTTCTTCTGCTGCCTCTTCTTTAGGTGCTGCTGGCTCCTCTGCAGCTGCTGCAACTTCTGCTTCTGCTGCCTCTGCTGCTGCTGCCACTTCCTTTGGTTCTTCTGCTGCAGCTTCGCTAAGTGCGACTGGCTCCTCAGCAGCTGCTGCAGCTTCTGCTGTTGCTGCTTCCTCTTCCTTTGGTTCTGCTGGCTCCTCCGCAGCTGCTGCTGCTGGCTCCTCCGCAGCTGCTGCAACTTCTGCTTCTGCTGCCTCTTCCTTTGGAGCTGCTGGCTCCTCAGCAGCTGCTCCCACTTCCTCTGCTTCTTCTGCTGCAGCTTCCTTCGGTGCGCCTGGCTCCTCAGCAGCTGCTGCAGCTTCTTCTGTCGCTGCTTCATCTTCCTTTGGTTCTGCTTGCTCCTCAGCAGCTGCTGCCGCTTGCTTTGGTTCTTCTGCCGCAGCTTCCTTCGGTGTGACTTGCTCCTCAGCAGCTGCTGCAACTTCTGCTTCTGCTGCCTCTTCCTTTGGAGCTGCTGGCTCCTCAGCAGCTGCTGCCACTTCCTTTAATTCTTCTGCCGCAGCTTCCTTCGGCGCGACTGGCTCCTCCGCAGCTGCTGCAACTGCTGCTTCTGCTGCCTCTTCCTTTGGAGCTGCTGGCTCCTCAGCAGCTGCTGCCACTTCCTTTGGTTCTTCTGCTGCAGCTTCCTTCAGTGCGACTGGCTCCTCAGCAGCTGCTGCAGCTTCTTCTGTTGCTGCTGCCTCTTCCTTTGGAGCTGCTGGCTCCTCAGCAACTGCTGCCACTTCCTTTGGTTCGTCTGCTGCAACTTTCTTCGGCGCGACTGGCTCCTCAGCAGCTGCAGCCTCTTCTGCTGCTGCTGCCTCTTCCTTTGCTGCTGCTGGCTCCTCAGCAGCTCCTGCCGCTTCCTTTGGTTCTTCTGCTGCAGCTTCCTTCGGTGCGACTGGCTCTTCCGCACCTGCTGCAACTTGTGCTTCTGTTGCCTGTTCCTTTGGAGCTGCTGGCTCCTCAGCAGCTGCTTCTCCTTCTTCAGTTGCTTCTGCTGCCTTTTCCTTTGGTTCTTCTGCTGCAGCTTCCTTCGGTGAGACTGGCTCCTCAGGAGCTGCTGCAGCTTCTGCTGTTGCTGCTTCCTGTTCCTTTGGTTCTGCTGGCTCCTCAGCAGCTGCTGCCACTTCCTTTGGTTCTTCTGCTGCAGCTTCCTTCGGTGCGACTGGCTCTTCCGCAGCTGCTGCAACTTCTGCTTCTGCTGCCTCTTCCTTTGGAGCTGCTGGCTCCTCAGCAGCTGCTGCCACTTCCTTTGCTTCTTCTGCTGCCTCTTCTTTAGGTGCTGCTGGCTCCTCAGCAGCTGCTGCAGCTTCTTCTGTTGCTGCTGCCTCTTCCTTTGGAGCTGCTGGCTCCTCAGCAACTGCTGCCACTTCCTTTGGTTCTTTTGCTGCAGCTTCCTTCGGTGCGACTGGTTCCTCGGCAACTGCTGCTTCTGCTGTTGCTGTTTCCTGTTCCTTTGGTTCTACTGGCTCCTCAGCAGATGCTGCCGGTTGCTTTGGTTCTTCTGCCGCAGCTTCCTTCGGTGCGACTGGCTCCTCAGCAGCTGCTGCCACTTCCTTTGGTTGTTCTGCTGCACCTTCCTTCGCTGCGCCTGGCTCCTCAGCAGCTGCTGCAGCTTCTTCTGTTGCTGCTGCCTCTTCCTTTGGAGCTTCTGGCTCCCCAGCAGCTGCTGCCACTTCTTTTGGTTCTTCTGCTGCAGCTTCCTTTGGTGCGACTGGCTCCTCGGCAGCTGCTGCAGCTTCTGCTGTTGCTGCTTCCTGTTCCTTTGTTTCTGCTGGCTCCTCAGCAGCTGCTGCAGCTTTCTTCGGTGCGACTGACTCCTCAGCAGCTGCTGCTGCTTCTTCTGTTGCTGCTGCCTCTTCCTTTGGTGCTGCTGGCTCCTCAGCAGCTGCTGCCGCTTGCTTTGGTTCTTCTGCTGCAGCTTCCTTCGGTGAGACTGGCTCCTCAGGAGCTGCTGCAGCTTCTGCTGTTGCTGCTTCCTGTTCCTTTGGTTCTGCTGGCTCCTCCGCAGCTGCTGCTGCTGGCTCCTCCGCAGCTGCTACAACTTCTGCCTCTGCTTCTTCTGCTGCAGCTTCCTTCGGTGCGACTGGCTCCTCGGCAGCTGCTGCAGCTTGTTCTGTCACTGCTTCATCTTCCTTTGGTTCGGCTTGCTCCTCAGCAGCTGCTGCCGCTTGCTTTGGTTCTTCTGCCGCAGCTTCCTTCGGCGCGACTGGCTCCTCAGCAGCTGCTGCAACTTCTGCTTCTGCTGCCTCTTCCTTTGGAGCTGCTGGCTCCTCAGCAGTTGCTGCCACTTCCTTTAATTCTTCTGGTGCAGCTTCCTTCGGTGCGACTGGCTCCTCAGCAGCTGCTGCAGCTTCTTCTGTCGCTGCTTCATCTTCCTTTGGTTCGGCTTGCTCCTCAGCAGCTGCTGCCGCTTGCTTTGGTTCTTCTGCCGCAGCTTCCTTCGGCGCGACTGGCTCCTCAGCAGCTGCTGCAACTTCTGCTTCTGCTGCCTCTTCCTTTGGAGCTGCTGGCTCCTCAGCAGATGCTGCCACTTCCTTTAATTCTTCTGGTGCAGCTTCCTTCGGTGCGACTGGTTCCTCGGCAACTGCTGCAGCTTCTGCTGTTGCTGCTTCCTGTTCCTTTGGTTCTGTTGGCACCTCAGCAGCTGCTGCCGCTTGCTTTGGTTCTTCTGCCGCAGCTTCCTTCGGTGCGACTGGCTCCTCCGCAGCTGCTGCAACTTCTGCTTCTGCTGCCTCTTCCTTTGGAGCTGCTGGCTCCTCAGCAGCTGCTGCCACTTCCTTTGGTTCTTCTGCTGCAGCTTCCTTCGCTGCGCCTGGCTCCTCAGCAGCTTCTGCAGCTTCTTCTGTTGCTGCTGCCTCTTCCTTTGGAGCTGCTGGCTCCTCAGCAACTGCTGCCACTTCCTTTGGTTCTTCTGCTGCCGCTTCCTTTGGAGCTGCTGGCTCCTCAGCAGCTGCTGCCACTTCCTCTGCTTCTTCTGCTGCCTGTTCCTTTGGAGCTGCTGGCTCCTTAGCAGCTGCTTCTCCTTCTTCAGTTGCTTCTGCTGCCTCTTCCTTTGGTTCTTCTGCTGCAGCTTCCTTCAGTGCGACTGGCTCCTCAGCAGCTGCTGCAGCTTCTGCTGTTTCTGCTTCCTGTTCCTTTGGTTCTGCTGGCTCCTCAGCAGCCGCTGCCGCTTGCATTGGTTCTTCTGCTGCAGCTTCCTTCGCTGCGCCTGGCTCCTCAGCAGCTGCTGCAACTTCTGCTTCTGCTGCCTCTTCCTTTGGAGCTGCTGGCTCCTCAGCAGCTGCTGCCACTTCCCTTGGTTCCTCTGCTGCAGCTTCCTCCGGTGTGACCGGCTCCTCAGCAGCTGCTGCAGCTTCTTCTGTTGCTGCTGCCTCTTCCTTTGGAGCTGCTGGCTCCTCAGCAGCTGCTGCCACTTCCTTTGGTTGTTTTGCTGCAGCTTCCTTCGGTGCGACTGGTTCCTCGGCAACTGCTGCTTCTGCTGTTACTGCTTCCTGTTCCTTTGGTTCTACTGGCTCTACTGGCTCCTCAGTAGATGCTGCCGGTTGCTTTGGTTCTTCTGCCGCAGCTTCCTTCGGTGCGACTGGCTCCTCAGCAGCTGCTGCAACTTCTGCTTCTGCTGCCTCTTCCTTTGGAGCTGCTGGCTCCTCAGCAGATGCTGCCACTTCCTTTAATTCTTCTGGTGCAGCTTCCTTCGGTGCGACTGGTTCCTCGGCAACTGCTGCAGCTTCTGCTGTTGCTGCTTCCTGTTCCTTTGGTTCTGTTGGCTCCTCAGTAGATGCTGCCGGTTGCTTTGGTTCTTCTGCCGCAGGTTCCTTCGGTGCGACTGGCTCCTCAGCAGCTGCTGCCACTTCCTTTGCTTCTTCTGCTGCAGCTTCCTCCGGTGTGACCGGCTCCTCAGCAGCTGCTGCAGCTTCTTCTGTTGCTGCTGCCTCTTCCTTTGGAGCTGCTGGCTCCCCAGCAGCTGCTGCCACTTCTTTGGGTTCTTCTGCTGCAGTTTCCTTTGGTGCGACTGGATCCTCAGCAGCTGCTGCAGCTTCTGCTGTTGCTGCTTCCTGTTCCTTTGGTTCTACTGGCTCCTCAGTAGATGCTGCCGGTTGCTTTGGTTCTTCTGCCGCAGGTTCCTTCGGTGCGACTGGCTCCTCAGCAGCTGCTGCCACTTCCCTTGGTTCCTCTGCTGCGGCTTCATTCGGTGCGACTGGCTCCTCAGCAGCTGCTGCAGCTTCTTGTGTTGCTGCTGCCTCTTCCTTTGGAGCTGCTGGCTCCTCAGCAGCTGCTGCCACTTCCTTTGGTTCTTCTGTTGCAGCTTCTTCCGTTGCTTCTGCTGGCTCTTCATTAGGTACTACTGCTTCTTCTTTCACTTCCGCTGCTTTGGGCTCTCCTGCTGCTGGCTTGACAAATTGGTCCATTTTCTTCACAAATCTTTGCAGCCGTTCTTCGATGGACACTTCTTCCTGAACTGGCTTCACTGGTTTCTCCGACCTCTCAGTCCTTGGGACATGCTGCACACTACCTGGCAGCATGTCACTGCTTGCAGCGCTGCTTTCAAGCTGGCTGCCTGCAGCACTCATCAAAGTGCCACTGCCACGGGCATCCCTCAACGTGCGAAACATGCCCTTGCTGTCATTCTTGCTTTCAGCCTTGCCTTCATCACCCTGGCTTTCGCCATCATCCGTGGTAGAAATCCACAGGCCGATCTTGGAGCGGGCATGGGCCACCATTTCTTCAAAGCTTTTGGGTCTCCCCAGGCCGCCACTTCTCGTACTCCCCAGAGCTCCGGGCTCTGGCGAATCGGCGCGAGGAGTGGTCAGGGGAGAGTTGGGAATCGCTTCTAGGGCGAGGCCCTCATCAGCTGCACATTTTTGCAAGTAAACATGCAGCTTATCTGGCACATTACCTCTACCTCCGCTCATCATGGATCACTGGACGGCATCTGACACTCTGAGCCAAAGGTCGGAGATGGTCGAACTCGCCTTCAGATTGGAATGGATCGAAATTTGAGGTGCTAGAACCCACTGATGTTTATCAGTCTGGACCCTCAAACCACTCTGCTTTTACCTAGATTGGATCTTACCAGTCTTGAGTCTTGAGGCTCATAATGGGGATGCAATATTAGGGGTATGGAATTACAACGCGGTAAAACAGAAGTTTGATAGAAGCGGGAAAACAGGAGATTGTGACACTGAGAACCTGTGCTGGCAGGTGGGCTTCAAACACTAAAACATGGTTCGATTCACCAATAGTGCTCCGTACTTCGTGCCTCGTGTTATGTTTATTATTGTTTATTGATATTAATCATGAAAGCCCACCTGTTTATAGCGTGTTCGGAGGTCCTTCATCCGCCCACACCGCGGTCATTCTGCTGATTGCAACTGCTTAATATAGTCATCACCCAATGATATGCACAAAATAACCCCAGAAATGGTTACGAAACATCATTCATTATGACAGATTGTGACCGTTTTTGTTAGGCGATATACATCTCCAACCATCTTGGTTAACATGTGCGTGTCAAAAAACGGATCAACAAAGTTGTGATTACCCTCCCGTACTCAAACGTGGCTAGCTGGAAAATCCCCTAAAATGGACGTTTCAATGGGAATATCAGCAAACAATGGCGGATTTTCCATTGCCACGTTTGATTGCCAGAGGGTATGCGTAGTTATTTCGCAAATCGAACAGTTGTAGGGGGCATGCCCCGTTTTTCGGACACACCCACATATACCATCCGTGGATGACTGGTTCATCCTCATGTTTCTTGGTTCTATCGCCCCCAATCCTTGAACTGCTCCGTACTCTTTGCCACTCCGGTGAACTAAGTGGATCTAGTTCACATTAAAGGAAGTGATCTCCCAACTTTTTTGGCTTTACAACCATGGAGGCCATGATGTACATTTCATGTTATATCATGCTGCATCATCATGTTGTGTCCATAAGAAAAACCTCCCGGGTGTCGCATCCGGGCCCCATCCGTGGTGCCGCACGCGCGGGGCAGCTCCTCACTCTCGTCCATGCGGGTGAGCAGTCGAACCACCTGCAGTCGAAATCGAAGGCAGGTGATTCAAATGGTGATTCAATCCTCAAAAATGATGATTAACCATGATTAACCACGATTAACCATCAAGAAATGCAACTGAACCATCAAACATTGGGATTTAACCATGAACAAATGCTAGGATTTTATGGGATGTAATTGGAATCTAATGATTAAAATTAATGGGATGGTCCATTAACCGCTTCCCCTGTTCAGGTGGATGTAGGGGATACATCCCGGTCGGTAACTGGGGGCCAGTGCTACTTGAACTTAATAACCATTGAAGAAAATACACACACACTTACAATCATAACACAGTCAAAGGCTTCGAACATTTGACATGGTTATGAAGCACTTAAGATTCCAGAAAGAACATCCAAGTAGATATGATACATGGCAATTGGTGGCGAACCATTGGAACCATCCCTTTTTTTCCTGGGATAACAGGTTTTGAAAGACTGCGGCGGCAACGTACTTGTAAAAGAATTTGCGAACCATTGGGTGGGATTTACTGTAAGCCTGGGCATAGAAATTACCCTCTGGTAAACTAACAGTTTGCTATTGAAAATGCCCATGTATAGTTGATTTACCCATCAAAAACGGTGATTTTCCATATATAGTTATGTTTGTTTACCAGAGGGTATATGATATGAGGGTCATGATAATTTGTCATCCCAGGGCTGGGAAAGTTGTACATCGAAAATTTATGCAGCCATCACCCAGCAAATAAGAACCATGCTGGAAGCATGGTTGCTTGCATCCTCAAAGCAACCAACCACTTAAATAATTTCATGGCACTATAGTCAGTGTTTCTGCATTTGCCTGATGGTTGAAGCGCTGACATGATAATGGTCAATATCTGCTTCATATCTTTTAAAAAAGAGGTGCTTTGAAAATCAGGAAAACCTAAAATCACAAATGGCATCCCCTATGTTCAATCAAAGTGGCTTGACTGATTCTGGGTTAGCATCACTTGGCTGGCCTGAGCCCAGCAGAGGCACATTCTCTCATTTTTTTCAGCGAAGCATTGCTCTATCAACCTATCGAACCAAGGTTTACCCAAGATGTTGAACCCCTGTTGCATTTTGAACCTTGGAGTGAATTCTCTCAATTAAGCCATAGGTCCATCAAATCCATGCAACTCCTGATTTTTGTTGGTTTCAAGTTTCAATCAGTATAATCCCAATGTTTGCTGATCAAACCCCAATGAATGATGCTCAAATCACCATTTCTTATGGTTCAACGTCCATTTCTGATAGTAAACCTACCCTTTCTGATAGTAAAATCACCGTTTTTTCCAAGACATTTCCCCAGATGTTTGGTTCCGGGCGTTGGTCTTGAACCTCAGCGCGGTTAAACGATGGGTCGAAGGGCGGGTCCGACCTGGCAGATGGTTCAGACCCTTCAGTTATTTCAGCTGTTCGTACCAGAAATGGTGATTTCATGGGATTTATAATATGTTTGTTGGTTTAGCAAGCCTATTTATCTGTTTGTTGATTTATAATGTGTTTGTTGGTTTATAATATAAAGCCTATGATTTTTAGGAATTAGAGCAATACCCCTCATGAAGGTCCATAAAGCCTCGTTTGGTGGCCCAGCTTGTAGAAAGGAACACATTCTCAATGATTCTGATAGAAAATAATGTGGCGAAAGAAACATAGTATCCCTATGTTTTGTTCAGTGATATATGCAAAATCTATGGAACTAATATGCAAACATGTATAAAAGCAGGTGTTGTCATCTAGAATCTAGGATATACGGAAAGCATATCTTGCCATCTATGACGCTAGCAAATCAATGGGCCTAAAAGCAAAGAAAACATGTCACTGTACCATATTATTGCAACATTGGTGTCTTAATCGCAAGATGAGTATATGTGTGTGTGTACATATATATATATATACATACGCGTATATGCAAATAAAATTTGTAAGTTATTTGCGTACAATGGTGGGCCCCCCAGTATAGTCTCCATCAATTATAGTCACATCCTTTTTAATCCTCGCTGATCAATGATAGGTGGAGATTCTCCCAAGGCATGGCTGCCATGACATGGAAATCTAAGGATGGTCGCGGATCCCCAAAAAAACGACCGTATGGATCGTAATGAATTACTAAGCATCTACCATTCTCAAGCGATGTTATTTTAGGGGCACCCATAGACTCCTGGATAACTTACACTAATTCCATCAAATGTATGATGACTTAAGACCACAGAGCCAAACCGTCATCGGGCACGGTTTCAGTGTACTAATGAAGCATGTTTTTAATTTTGGAAACTTACATGTTATAATAGCAATAGATGTTTGCTTTATAGAACGTGCTACATGGGAAACACATAATTTCAGGCTGGTCATGATCAATCCACAAATCTATATACTACATTGACATTGCACATCACAAACTATGTCAACCCCCAGAAGAATGTGGTTAGCCAAGTAGTAAAACTACCGTAGTGAAATTTGGGGATGGTTTACTTATTATTGGGCTTACTACCCTCCTTTCCTCCAAGCAATTCTGTATTTCCGGCCCCTTTGATCCCAAAAAACACCCTCGCCTCCCAGTTTCCAAGTGCTTCTTGCCTCGCTCCAAAACACAGTCAGCGTCACGGGGCAAGCGAAATCAAATAAACATGAAAACAATTAAAAGACACATTTATACAAACATTTTTGTCTAACAAGTCTGACAAGTGTTTTCGTGTATGGTATCCCCTTGCCAGAAAGTCGTTTGACAGCAACATTAAAAAACGAGGGATAAAGGGCGACGCAATGACAATAAGAACAATATTGTAATACGTTTCCCACCCTGCTGCAGGTTGGGAGATGCACGTGTCAAATCTTGGATGCGATGCAACACTAAATGCAAAACCTGCTGTAACATGCTGTAACCTCTTTCAAGGCACACTAAACTAAGTCATAACTGTTCCAAGCTGGAATTCCCGTGTCTCGACTGGTGAAGCGAGGCAACCATATGTGCCATGGCCAAAACATTGTTTTTTATTTTTGATGTGGGTTCTGGTCATCCCATCATAAATTATTGGGAATCCAAACCTAATGGGTTAATCATGGTTAATCTCAATCCCTATGAAAATGAATTGATGATTCCCATTCTCTAAGGACTAGGTATCTCGTCCAACTTTGCTCATGGCTAATATATTTAATATATGGCATTCCACTGGCTCCGAGAGCAGGGCCAAATGCCGTGCAGTCGCCATGGCCGTCGGGGCGGATTGGTAAAAGCGAAACATGGTAAGTTGTAGTTGTAGTTGTTGTTGTTGTTGTTGTTGTATCTTGGGATACCTTGCAAATTGATATGCAAATTGGGGATTTCAGCACCAAACATCGAGATATTCTCCACAACAAGGAGATAAACCATGTCTTCTTGCTGTCTCTCATCTTTGGTTGAGTTTGCTATGCGGCCCTGCTGATTCGTTTCGCATCCAGATTAATGTCGGGAACAAAAAACAACAAACCACCCCGGTAGGAAACCATTTGGGTGTCATTTGACATCATCCCATTACTAGGTAATCAATCCTAATTGAAAATGATAACTAGACAGAAGTCCCAGCCGCCACTTATCCCATATTAATATGACCAAGTAAGGAATCATATAACTGATTGTATATAATATATTATGCTAACCATCATGCTATGACCATCATATGCCAACTATAACTATATTATATCTGAAGTGTAGGTCCTTTAGGCTGCCAAACTAATTATACACTCCTCTTTCACAACTTGTGATCAGTTCTCATGTCTAAAAAGCTAAGAAAATGCCGAGGATATGTCAACAAGCCAATGATAGCTGAAGTGGTGAACATCTGGCAGATTCTTTTTGGGATTCTCTTGGTTGATTTCAAGTGGGGAAGTCGATCTTCAATAGAGATGAGCATAAACTATTCCGAATCTGAAGTATCTTAAGTAATTGGTTCTTTGGTTTGGATTGGACTTGACTGCCATCTTTCATGCCCTGTGAGGATGATGAGTCTTGGACCCTTACCATCTTAGCCACCTTTCATTGGAGAATCACCATCGGTTCTCAGAGATGAATCAAGAGATCACCTGCCGACCAGGGACCCGAAATGGCCATATTATGGCTATATAACATGGCAGTGAAAAGTCGGCGAGAACCCCCCATAAGGAACATCATCTCTCTACCCTCCAGTAAACTAACATAGATATTAACATATGGGTTAGATATGGCTTTAATCCCATGAAAACCGAACCATTTGTCATATCTAATCTATATAAAGTCTATAATATGTGTCTACATATATATATATATCAAAAATGATTTGTATATCATATATGTTTTTTTCCACCATTGGCATCAGATTCTCCTGAACCCCGCTGAACATTTTGCTGTCTCGCGAAGGTCACCGACGCGCGCAAGCCGCAAGCGGCCTCCCAGCAGTTTGGACCCGGAGGCACTGAGGATGCAACGAATGATTTCTAATGGGAATCGGATTTAGTGTGATTTAGTGGGATTTAATTAACCATCAACAAATTGGGATTATCTAGTGATTATCTCAACATATCTCAATCATGTTTGTTTCATTTTGTGTCAATGAAATGATATGAAATTATGCCTAGCTTCCCCGTTTCTGTTCCAAAGATCGCAAGTTTGGCAAGGCTTGGCCGCCTCTACATATCCAATTTGTCTGCTTGATGTCTATCATCGTTCTATCCAAGTTCTGCACATATTCCCCCACACACCTGGCTGACAACAGTTAACCCGTTATATAACCTCATGTGAACAAACATGGCGCACTGGAAAATCACCATGAAATTATAGATCATTGTAGGTCATTTCCTGTTGAATATTGATCAACGTTGAAAATGCCCATCCTCGTCCGTTGCCATGTTCGAGTTCCGGAGGGTAACCGGGTAACCCCATTGCTATTCCGTGATTATCCCATTGTTCTCCTACAGTATTGCATATAAAACCGTACCACCTTCAAACCACCGTTTTGGGGTACCCTCGCAGCATCTTTTGTTTTCCTCACAGCAAATGGTGCTCACATTCCACTTGTGCCGTGGCCTGGCCAATCCGTAGAACACCAACGAACACTAAAGCTTGATCCAAACGACACACCCGCATACAGTACATGGCGAGTGCATAGTAGTTAGGCTGTGAAAAAAGAAAATGAAAAAAAAAACGTTGTGCTATTGACCAACACTTCGGTCAGGTTTGTGTATGAGGATGTGAGGTTCAGAACGAACACCTCACGACAACTTCTTGATGTTGTAGGCGCAGATCTGCCCCTCAATCATGGTGTGGTCCTGTCCCATGGAGGTGAGTTGACACGACACCCTGGGTGATACCTGATACCCCACATTGAAGCAGGCTGGTGAAATATGATCACTCTTTGATCTCTTCACACCCTCGCTTCATGGATTGTTTGAGTAAGTTGTGCTGATGAGCACCACAAAATAGAACTGAACAAACAAGGATGGACCAGTCACTTGTAGTCAAAACATGTCAATGTCTGGGCCTTTGGGGTAGGCCTGTGCTGATTATGCAGATATGCAAGCCCAAATGCAAGAAAATGGGATAGTAGATCACACCACTAAATAGCCAAACCTGCAGTACACAAACATGGTTTGCTCGAACATCAGCAGTTTGCAAATGATGACCCATTAAAATGGGTTCCTTCGCATTGCCAGGTCAATTTGCCAAAGGGTACCAGTACAGCTTGAGTATTGTACAAGAATTCACTGTATAAGAATTTGAGGGGCTCGAATCCAAGGCGGGCTACATATTTTCAGGTATACCAAACACATAGTACTTTAAGAATTTGAGGGGCCCTGGAGTAGGATTGCCAAATTCTTAAATTACTGCTTCTACGTGAGGTTTGCAGTTCCCTTTAGCGGTTCATTTTTTTGGCGTGACCCCTTATATTGTCTTACGGGATGAAATTGGGCTTTGCAGGAAAACAACTTTCCAGGCTCTAAAAAATTGTTTTTCCAACACTGCTCTTTTGAAACTCAGAGAAGCTCGGCTTTTGCAAAAAAACAATTTTTCAGGCTCCAAAAAAATGTTTTTTTTTTCTTGCGCACTAACCTTATAAAATTCATACAAGCATGGCTTTGCAAAAAAACAATTTTTCAGGCTCTAAAAAAATGTTTTTTTTCCGTACTGCTCTCATGAAACTCAAACAAGCCCGGCTTTGCAAAAATCAAATTTTCAGCATCTAAAAATTATTTTTTTCGCATGCCTCTTGTCAAATCTGCCAACTCCACCTTGTTACCTCCTTTAAGCTTGCTCCAACTTGTGCAGATGCATGCAATACATAACTAAGAATGCCCTAAGAATTTGAGGGACCCTCGGCCTGTTGTGGTGTAAATTTGCCTGTATTTAAAAATAAGAATTTGAGGGACCCTGGACCTCAAGCTTTCGGATTCTTAACCAGCGCTCAGGCTGTATTTCACCCTTGTGAACCTGTTAATGCCAAGCAGGATAGCAGTGTGCGTCCAGTCTGTGTTTCTCAAAAACACTATAGGTAAACCCAATAATAAACCGCCCCAGTAACCAACCCTTAGAGGGTCGCTTGAAATCATCTCATTACTAGGGGCTCAACAATAAACTCCTATTGCTCACCAGCCGGTTTATCCAGTAACCACTCCCCACCAACCTGGGAGATATACAAAAACCCTGCTTATCCAGGTCGAAATCCAATTTGTGTGGGGGTTGTGTATGTGAAAACGTGTTGGTTGACAATTCTCTCCCTTCCTTTGTGGTCAAACTTATATTTTGCGAGTGAATACAACATTGTTGCCTGTCTGCATCCCATGTATGTTATCTTGTAATGCGATATTGTTCTGGTGCAACTCTTAATTTTTCTTTGCTCCGGATCGGCATTTTTCGATGAACGCATCCACCCCAATTCCTGTTGGTGTTTCTTGTTCTTAGATGTTCTTAGGTTTTTCCGTTCGTGAAACCCAAAAAAAAAAACATATTTAGATTCACCCGTTATATAAACCCAAATGTTTCATGTCTGTGCCCATGACTAACCTTGGATTCCATAGATACCTTTTTATTTTTGATCCACTTGATTGCTACCGGGGTGTGAATTTTCGGACCTCCATCAAAACAGCTACAAAATGACCTGTTCCCACCTACATAACCCAGTTTGCGGATGGTCTTCCATGCACCTACCATTCGCAACAACCTTCACTATCCATTCAACTGATGAGCGGCTTGGATAAACCAAGGGGGAGGCCCATGATTCGAGAATTGGATTGACATTTTGATGGTTTAAAGTTTAAAGCGTAAAAGCCGGGCCATGGTGAAAAATCTTAAACCTCCTCTCTAGGTGCCTCTAGGTGCATGTCTTCTGGTAACCCGGCCATGTAAACCACCAATTTCACCAGAACTGGTTGGGTATTAATCCTTATTAATCATCAAACACGGGTACGTTTATGGACAGTATTGTGATGTATTGTGCATATGCTGAGGCTAAATCCCATTATATCCCATTGCATTCCGATTAGACCACCATATTTGCATGTCAAGTCACCATGTTTAATGATCGAAAAACCGCTTATCTGGCTTAAAAGTTCATCATTTGCTTGCTGAACTCCATTTTTTCTCAGGATTTTTCATGCTTCTTTGCCCCCCCGGATCACCCGGGTGCTTCGCACCCCAGGTCCTCCATGAAGCGAACTTTGTCGCCCACCTTCACCGCCATGTTCAGACCGCTGGAGGCAAAGAAGGCCTCGACGCCGTCGCCCTGGCAGATTTTATCTGCACTGGTCATTGTCACTATTAAACAAACGTGCCTGGAGTGTGAAGGACGTTTGGTTCAATGGACTTCAAATGACTTCAAAACTCAAAGAACGAAGTCTTGAGTCTAAACACCACCCATCCTTCTTGTCACACAATCCTTCGGGGCCCAAGAATCTTCAAGTCAGATCAAGTCAGAGCGCCTCAACTGTATCTGCCCGAATGAGACCGTAACCCTTCTCAGCATTGAAGAGAATCACCTGCAGCTGCAGAGCACAGCAAGGCCTCGCCTTGGATGAAATCCATTCAACAAGGTGTTCCAGCAATGTGGGAAAAAATGGTGAAACCCAAAGCCAGAAAGATCAGAAAGTATAGTCAATTTTACTATTTCAAGGACTGAATTGGAAGTATTGTGGGTAAACTGTGATCCATCACTTTTGGTGAGGCGGCTGACGTCTCAATGATCGTCTGGGCGGAAAGTTTGCTCCACCTTTGGTGGTTTACTGTTTGTTTTTGTCCTCATGTTTTGCCCATGAAATGGTTGTTGCATTTCTTGGATACCCTCTGGTAAACGTTTACATAACTATGGAAAATCACCATTTTGAATGGGTAATTTCACTATAAATGGCCATTTTCAATAGCTATGTTAGTTTACCAAAGGGTATGTTTTTGGATGATTTCATTACAGTTTTTGCCGGCGACATCCCAATGCCAGATGGTCAAAACATGCGAAACCGCAACTTTTTCATGGCCCCAACGTTGCTGTTGATGAAATTCCCCGTTATTGCCCCACTATTTCCCATAAAAACAAACCAGTTTTGATTGTTAAGTCATTTTAAATCACCAGTTCTGTCGGTTCAATCACCATGTTTGATGCTTAAATCAGTGAATTCCTGATTTTTCACTGTTCAATTGGAATGTTTCATGGTTAAATCATGTTAAATCATTTCGATGGTTAAATCACCAGGTTTGTCATGCTTAAAGCCATCAAACATGGTGGAAATTCATGGCCCAGATCCCATCGGAACCATGGGGAACCATGGCGCCCTCTGGCCCTCGGCCTCTCCGGTGGCTTCTTTGGCCACAGACTCGGCACCTGCCGTTCGAGACAGTGATGACTCAGGATTTCTCGTGAGAATCTTGTGGGATTCATGGAAATTCATGGGATTTAAGTAGCAAAATGGCGATTTGATACTATTCCGGGGGTCAGGCTCATGAGAGTCGTTTTTCATGGGAAAGCTTCACGATTAATCCAGAGCTGGAATAATTCATGATCATTTTCAAAAAGTATTACATTGTGTTACGATCTATGGTTATTAGTAACATTCAGCAAGTTACTATTCAAATAATTCCTGGCTGATTCATCTTTGCTGCCTTTATGTCAGCTTCTGAAAGGTGATCGTTACCTGGGAAACCTGGCGTTTCCCAGATGTAACCCTGGTGACCTCTTTTTAGGGTCATACAAATCTACTGGCCCATATTTTGCTAGCAATCATCTGCATGTTTGCGGCTTCAAACATATACCACTTTCACTTTCACGTCCTGCGCCCTGCATGCCCACAGCTCGGTGCATCTCTCTGGGTGTGATACAGAACAGCTCAGAAGGTCACAGGGACAAGGATGGCAAACCAACAATCTATCCTAATGTCATTTCTCAATCTTGATGCTGAATGCCCCCTGAGTCCTGAAACTGCAAAAACAGCTTCCCTCAGCTGATCTCGGCAAATCTTAATTGACATGGTTTAAAACAGTTTAAAACCATTAAAGTGAACATGGGGAAAATGTTGGAAAATGTTGGGCATACTTCCCCCCTTTACAACCCAATCATTTCTGATATTTCTGGATATTTCTGGTACAGGGTACCTCGCCTTGCACTACGAAGCCACCCTCCTGGAAGCGGCCCGGCAGCCCCTCGCATGCGCTTTCCAGGACCTTTCGGCTCTCATCATCCAGCGGCACTTGCCTCAGGACCCAGTCTGCAGCAGATTTTGATAGCGGCACAAGAATCATGGGGAAATGGGGTTATGTAACAACAGCAGCGTCACAAGAAACACCATTTGTGGTATTTGATGGTATTTGTAGTATTTTGAAGGATTGAACTACCCACAAAGTGGTTTCAAGCTCTGACGTTGCTGGTCATTGCAAGGAGTCACTTTAACTTTCACATATTCACTTGATAAGCAGCAGCAAATTGAATTGGGATTCATGATTCGTTCGCAACAATCCTTCGTCTGGTGCCTGGTGGTTCGGACCACGCCCTCAAAATTCCACAGGTCAATTGTCGCGCAGACTGGAAAAACCCCACACAATTCAGACATGTAGACTCCACCCCGTCCGAGGTCCTATCAAAATGGACTTGAATTCAGTGGGATACTTCATGAAGAACGCTGAACTATGATATAGTCCCCACTAATGGACCAATTAGAGACGAGTAAACCATGTAGTTCCCTTACATCGCAAATGAACCATCAAGCAAAGACTCCAAACAATGGAAAAAAACATCGGACAAACAAGAGGAACAAGAGGAACTCGGAAACCATGTCAGCTATACAATCATCGAAACCCGCAACATCCTGCAATAAAACCCCAAGGGTTTAGTCCCGGCTGCTCCAAGCGCTTCAGCTCTTCCCGGAACAACGGCTCTGCGGCCTCCGTGGCCTCTGCGGCCGCCGGGACAGCTCCAGCGCCACGCCGCGGGCAGACCAGGCGCAGGCCCATCCCGGCCAAGGGGAAGTTTGCTCCAGAACTGTGGGATTTTGGTGCGATTTTTGTGTCCCAAACATGGATAAACATGGTACATTTGCGATTTTGATGCACTTTTCCTGCGGAAGAGAATGAGAAATAACGGAGAATCATGGAACATAATGGAAAATCATCCTGAAACGTGATGGAAAAGAATGGAAACAAATGGAAAGGGTACAAAATATTTGATTCATATGATATTGATTCCTCGTATATAATTCTGGTAGTCCTTCTTCAGCATCCATTCAAAAAACGTAAAAACTACCGTACATCGGGATAATCAATTCAACCATCATTTGAGGATTTGGACGCAGAACTGCAGAGCTTGACATTCAAAAAGGCTGGCCCATTGCCTTTGCACACTTATGTCAACCCTGGATTAATAAACCCCTAGGCTGTTTAATTGGGAGGATACCATTTGAGTATTAGATTATGACTATTGGAGGAGTACCCCGGTACCCCCCTAATTAATAAATAAACCATGGTTTATTGATTGTTGACTTATACACATTTAACATATATGAATTATATCAACATCATGCCTTGAATCCAAGGAGCCCAAAGGAGCCCATGGCCCATCGACTCATTGTGGCTGCTGACACAACCATGGGTCCCCGGGTTTAGCGTACCCCCTCCGATGTACCATGAAATACCTATAGATCCAAATAGGTGGCTTGAAGATACCAAACAAATTGGACCTTGGCGAACCGTCCCTGGTATTCTTTCATCCTTCATGTTGTCAAAATTCACCCAGAAAGCTTCCGAACCAAGGTTTTCCCATCGGATTCCTTTTCATCCAGCCGGATCGCGGGGTGCTTCCCTCACGAACAATCCGAAACTCTGAAGGGATTTCCCTTCTGAAACCATGAAGGGATTTGGGCGTTCAAATCAAATGTGTTCAATCTTATGTAGAATACACCACCAAATGTGTTTCTACTGACTTCATAAACTATATTATACCATATTATATTATCTTATACTATATCACACTATGTTAAAATAAACTATTTTATATCATATCAAATTATATTAAATCAAATTATTTCATATTGTATCAAACTATATTATATTACATTACATTATAATAGCGTACAATATTATATATATATAATGTACCTGTGGTTTCATCAGTGCTTCACGGTTGGAAACCGCCACCAACTACCCTCCAGTAATTTCAACATGGATAATCACAATTTTTAATGGTTAAATCACCATTATTGATGGTTGAATCATAATTACCGTTCTCGATGGTTTAAATCAGCATTGTTCATGTTTCAATCATGTTCAATCATAATTTCTTGATGATAGAATCATGTTAAATCATGTTCACCACGGAATCATTGAACCATTTCTTTCTGATTTGACCATATTTAACATCTTGTTTAAAATGTGGCTATGGATCAATACCTATTAATACCATTTTTAGGGGAATGAACATCCATAAATCCCAGCTATTTTGATGTGAAATACAGGGGTACTATTGGTTTTGACACACTGCCATGTATGCAGTTACCCTCTGGTAATTTAACATAACTATGGAAAATCACCATTTTCAATGGGAAACAGTGTAGCGGGGATCGTGTCCGAATTTGACTGCGCGGGTTCGCGCGGGTTTGCGCGGGTTTGCGCGGGTTTGCGCGGGTTTGCGCGGGTTCGCGCGGGTTCGCGTTGGTTCGCGCGGATTTGCGCGGGTTTGCGCGGGTTCGCGCGGGTTCGCGCGGGTTTGCGCGGGTTTGTGCGGGTTTGCGCGCGTTCGCCCGGGTTCGTGCGGTTTCGCCCGGGTTCGCGCTGGTTTGTGCGGGTTTGATGATGATGATGATTATTATTTTCATGATTATCATGATTATCATGATGATGAGTCAATGACCACAGCAATCGGTTCCGTCTAATGTCTTACAGGCAATTGCAGAGGCGCAGGTCTGCAAAATTATCACTTATGCCAAAAAACAGTCACTATCCACAAGAGCCTGAGCAAAACCATTCCAGAAGCATTTCTTCTTGATGCTTTGGCACTTTTTGGCTAGCCGGATACACCATTCCTCCGTGAGTACTGAGGGCGGAGGCGATTTTGCCAACTGAATCATTTCCTTCAACCTATCCACCAATGACTTATCATTGAAAAGGTGAAACATGGTTTTGAAGAAGCACACCTGGTCGCAAATAACTGGAATGGTTGAGTCCTTGCCAAGTTGTTACCTCTTTCTCCTGTATCACCATGTGCAAGTATATAGTTTTTTGTAATCATGTTTTTTGGTCTGATTCATTGGTGGAAAAGACTGAATTCTCGTGGCTGTGAGCGGGCGAATTTCCAGCCACTTCGCAGTTCAGAATCATAGTACGAAACCTTGCAGCAACGCTGTCCAGGTCATGGAAGTTTTGGAAACTAGGCACCATCAGGTTTTGTTTGGAAACCAGGTCACATGGTTGTATGGTTACTTTATCTTACCACACCGGTCAAACCCCTGAAGACCTGACCACCGACCACTGCTGCTGGAGTTGCCAGTGCTAGCACCACAGGCAGACATCACAAGGGACACCACAAGCACAAGCACCGCAGACTCGGTCCGTGTCCTCTGTGCTTGTGCTTGTGGTGTCCCTTGTGATGTCTGTGAAGAACCTCAACACGAGTGAACCCTCCTATAGGCCTTGAGATTCGCACTATCTTTGACATTGCTTGCTCAGTTGATATTTATTCATAATGACAATTTCCACAGCTGATGTTTAGAAGAACAAGATATACACACGAGATGAGGGATATGTGATCCCCACTATCCATTTATCCATGTATGTCTTTCCCAAACCAATCCATTGAGCTTCAGCTTCAGCTCAAGCTAGGATCTCCACCTGGCTGCAGCGTAGGCTTAGCTTTGTACAATCGCGATAGGAAGCGTCAGCTTTGGAATGACCAGATTCCAAAGGGATCTCATAGGATCCATGGGGGTAATCGGATAATTGGTATCATGGGTATATCATGGGTATATCATGGTATATCATGGTATATCATGATCCATGGGGATAAGTTACATGGATAACTAATATTATATACTAATGGCTGCCAAGGCTTGCTCAGACGCTACGACAGAGTGATGGAAGCCCGACCCGGGATTGTGCTCCATCACGCTCCACCTGTTCCTGGGAAACAATGCAACACATCCATCCATATCAATATCAATTATATATGTGGCATCTAATGCTTCATATACACATATATGATTATATATACATATATATCATTATATAAATATATATATATATATGTATTGTCATTATTATGTTTATTCTTCAACGTAACTTCAAAAATCTTCCATACTATTACCTTCTTGAGTTTCTGGGCATCAAACCATGATGTCAATTGCTGTCTTGCAAATTGGGCACTGCTTGTCCAGCACCAAATGCCAGCAGAATGGAATCAGCGGCCTGCAACGAAGCCTCTCCACCTGAGGGAAAGGTGGACATCACCGTGAAAAACACGTGAAACGAATAAAATGATGCTGATGATGATGATGATTTTGATGATGATGATGATGATGATGATGATGATGATGCTGGTGGTGGTGGCGGTGGTGGTGGTGGTGATGGGATGGTGGCGGTGATGGTGATGGTGGCGGCGGTGGTGGTGGTGGAAAACGATGAGGACGATGATGATGTGGCGACGACAATGATGACAACGATGACGTCAATGACGATGACGATGAGGGTGAGGATGACGATGAGGACGAGGATGATGGTGGTGGTGGTGGTGTGGTGGTTGGTGGGTGGACTTTTGGACAAGGGCCACAAGTGTAGAGCATTGAGTAGAAACCTGGTGCTCCAGGGATGACAGTGTACAGGCACAACAAAAGATCAAAAAGGACGAGCAAAGACAAAGAGAGTCGCAACACCAACCCTCTTGCGAAGAAAAAGAGCACATCAAGTCATATTAAGTCCCTGGCTGCTGCGGAAGATAATGCTTTGCTCAACAGATCCAACACCCGATAGCTTCATGGGCAGAACCTGTCATGAAGGATAAGCGATTGAGCCTTGCCTAAAAGCAATTCTGTTCTTTCAACAGTGACAAGCACAGAGTTCAGACATACTGCTGGTCATTCGTTGAAGGGAAATTCGCCAGTGTCACCGGCCTTGTTACTGGTGAAGTCAATGGAGAGGCGGTTCTCGAAGCTCGCAGGTGTGTCCGCCTCTATGGAACATGATTTCCCAGGTTCCCAGAGTTTGATCTCACTTGATGTCTAGAAAAAGTCACTTGATGTCCTAGGATATGACAACTTGAT